GGGGGAACAAAAATTTTCAGAAATTTTACCTCTCTAATGGAAATGAACATTTTTATTGCAACTTTGACCAATGCTTTCGTTGTAGCTGCTGCATTTCAGATTTCAAATAAAATTACTGGAGACTTTCTTGTTTATCTGAAGGCAGTATGGGTTAAAAAATATATCAGTATGGTTTTTTTTTAAAAAATCCAGGCTTCCTCTTCTGGAAGGGAAAATGCTATGGGTGGCTAATCTGCTTTGTGGGGGTTGGAGAAAAGAGGAAGTAGAAATAAAACAATCAGAGTTAGCAGTAATCCCTTTGTAAGACAGAGAACTTTAAAGTATTACTCAAACCTCCCATTTCTTCGCCCTCAAAAGAATGGAGGCTCTCTTACTTTGGACATATAATGAGGAGCACAAGAGCCACTGGGGGAAGCTGAAAGCAACAGGAAATTAGGAACAGCTCACATGACATGGGACTGATTCCACAAAAGAAGCCACATCTTTTCGTTTATGAGACTTGAGCAGGGGCGTTAAAGATAAGATCTTTCAGCTATCATAGATTCACAGGTTCTCCATAAGTCAGATCAGAGAATAAATGTATTGGAAGGGGACCCATAAGGCCATCCAGTCCAAACCCCTGCTCAAGGCCGGAATCCAAGTGAGGCCATCCAGTCCAAACCCCTGCTCAAGGCTGCAATCCAAGTGAAAACAGATCAGACAGAGGATGGTCCAATTTCCTCTCGAAGGCCTCCAGCGTTGGGGTGCTCACCACCTCCCAAGGTCCCAGGATCCGTTATCGTACTGCTCTAACAGTTAGGAAGTCTTTCCAGATATTCAGCCTAATTCTAAGTTGTTAGGAAGTCTTTCCTGATATTCAGCCTAGTTCTTAGCTTCGTCTAGCTTGAGCCCATCGTTGTGTCTTGCGTTCTGGGATGATCGAGAACTGGCAAGCAGCAACAGCCGGCAACATATACGTCCTGTGCCCTGCGTAAATGACTCACAGATCATAAGAATGCAAAAACAGTCTTCCTGAACTGGCCCTCAGTTCTGCAAAACAGCCAGCATTTGAGAATGCAATGCTTCTTCTTCCTGGAAATTTAATTCTGATTTTTTTTTTACTAGGTGTTGTTGCCTGTGTGTTGGCAAACTCCAAAGCCTGAAAAGTTAGAAGCTGATTCTTAGAAACGCAACGCAAACGCTCTCAAAACGGAAAATCCACAGCTGATATTTCTAGGATTCTCAGTTTTGCAACCAGGAGCTAGGAACTCTGATGATAGTGGTGCAAAGGTGGAATTCACCGCTTTCCCCCTATGTCAGTTGTCCTTCTGGACTTTTCATAATCCTGTTGTGTGTGTGTGTTTTTTTCCATCCCCAAGAATCCTTTCCAAACTGTGAACTATGGCTAGAGATTCTTTCGGCAACACAAGCAAACTCGGGCACATCCCGCCGGCTTTCTTCTCCAGGACCACAGAGGACGGCAACTCTACGTAAAATTCTCTCAACCCACAATCGCCTCCTGCACCAAGACTCATCTAATCAACACAACCCCTAACACAATCTGACCTCCCAGGTCCCTTATCTCATCGGGTCCTTGCAAAACTGAAGGCAATTAGCCTTCCCAAGGCCACCATTGAGCCTTTCAAGGCCATACCATCACTTAACACACCTAAGAGGCTTTCTCTCTCCCCCCCCCAAAAAACCAGCATCTTGCAGACTACAGTATAGCTATCTCCAACAACAGCCTTAAGACTTTGGGGTTTGAATATCAACATATAATTTGGGAGCTACCCATGAGAACTTGGGGCACAGCCTGAGGAAGATGAATGATCACGGAAAGCTCTGTCTGTTTATGTCATCCTTACACCTCCTGGAAGTGATGGCAATGATCAAGAGCCAGTCGGTTTAGGTCTCTGTCTCTAGAGGTTGGGAGTTCGAATCCCCCCCCACGGGGCCTCCTGCAGGTAAAGCCAACATGTATAGCCTTGGGCAAGAAGGAAGGATAAACCATTTATCTACCTGGAAACCCCCCCAATAACAACAAAAAAGGTGTCGCCGTTAAGTCAGAATGGATTTGAGGGCCCATGAGGCTTAGTCAGGAAGAACCGCAGCAGAAATGGGGATTTTTCTGACCTTGCAGGTGCCTTGGGCCACAACACCCACATCATCAGCCATGCTAGCTGGGAATCTATAGGTACAAAAGTCCAACAAGAGCTGAAGAGACCAAAAGTTTCATAGACTTCAGATTTTTGGACTACAGTTCCCAGAATTCCTCGTCCTATAGACCAGGCTGGCAGGAGTTTCTGAAGCCAGAAACGTCTGGAGGGACGAAGCTGAGATACCCTCAGTGCTGTCCCCTCACAGCTACGGCTGAGGGGAACTGTAGCCAAGGAGGACTTCCAGGCCGCGGATAAGCGAGCCCGCGGATAAGCGAGCCCGCGGATACGGGGTTCCCCACAGCAAATTGGACAAAGGGACCTTCTGGACCCGGGGAGGAATCCCCAGGAGGGACGGGCACGGCCATTTTGGTCACCCACCGACCCCCTCCCCAGGCCTCAAACGAGGCAGGTGAGCGGAAGTACCCCCAACTTCCGGTTCCGGCCTGTCACACCCCTCCGCACAAGCGCCTCACCCCCTCCCCCCGCCTCAAAAAACCCCGGCCCTCCCCTGGGAGGAGCTCCTCCCGTCCTCTCACCCGCCCGTCGGGGACAGAAAGTCGGCGTCGTCTTCCTCGGCGCCCCCGAACATCATCCGTCCCCCCCCTCCCGCCGCCTCAGGGAGGCTCCTCCGCCAACGCGAAACCAGGCAAGCAAAATAGCCGCCAAGCGCCGCTCGGGGGGGGAAGAGGAACTTTTACGACAGGGTCGTAAAAAAAGAAGAGAGAAAAAGCCGAGCCGGCGAAACTTAAGCGGCCCGTGAAGCCGGCCAGGACGGGTCCCCGGCGGGGCCAAACTTCCTCCGCCTCGCTCTTGCTTTTTATCCCTGAAGGGACTTTTCTTTTTTCCTGAGGCTTTTAGGTTGGGAGAAGGGGGGCGGGGTCTGTTAAGGGGCGTGGCTTCGGGAAGAGGAGGAGGAGA